TGGATAGGTTGCTTGTTTCTTGCAAGTGGAGAAAAAGTGAGAACAAAACATGATTCCAATTGGAGAATCCAGCTTTTTAAAGAAAACAATGGCATCTTTTATAAAGGCATAGGAAACTCTATGGTTAGGAAGAGTAACTCCCTCAAAGGTGGGAGAATTGCATAGGCAAGATTCTTAGTACCCTGAGAGTAACAAAGGCATAATTACACCACAAAACTCTTTCCCAATCTCGAAACTAATGGAATAAATTAAGCAAATTAATTAGAAAATGCAGAACAAAAAATATTCACAGATGTTTTAAGAGGATGCGTTTATATATACCACAGAATTCTACAGAATGCATAACCCTGATTGGTAAATAAATTGCCTGTTTTATACCTATGCACTCCGGCATACATTAGATAAATCTTAGAATTTGAATTCCAATGCCACTGATTGGTTCCCCCTTTTCTTTCTTTCTAGATATTTAAATTATACAGTTAAATATCTACTGACATTGTATAAATTTGGGTCCAAAACCTACTTCAAAGTATTGTTGTGAGGGTAATTGAGGTAAGGATTTTAAAAGCCATGCCTTTGAAATAATCTTTACCTAGTAGATCTGCTCCTTCATCCACATCTCCAATGGCCTCTGAGCCCACTTCAGTAAGCTCGGTATACAGGGAATCAGTATTGATGCCAAAAGCTTTATTCACTATTCCTTGTGTTGGGCTATTCACATAAGAAGAAAAATTAGAAACACGTTGCAGCAAGGAATATTTTCGTTCTCTTAATCACAGAAGGCAGCTTTTCCACCCAAAATACGTTTTTTAACCCTTATCCCAACCAGCAAGGGCATGTGAAAAGAAACCAGAAATTTGTAAAGAGACAGTATCTGGAAAATACATTGTACCTCGCAGAGAAATGGGAATTTATATATAATAAGGAAAAGAGAAAGATGAGAGGAAAGGGAAGTGGAGAAATGAAGGGAGAGAGGAAAGTGAAGGAGAGCAGAGAGGAGGGGAGGAGAGAAAAGTTGAGGGAAGAGGAGAAGAAAGAGGAGGGAAGTAGAGAAGGGAAAGGAGGGAAGGAAATGGACGAGGGGAGAGGAGTAGGAGAGAGGGAAGGAGAGGGAAATGGGGAAGAGGAGAGAGAAGAGGGGCGAGGAGAAGAGGAGGAGAAAAAAGTAGAGAGGGGAAAGGAGAGAGATAAATATATAGAATGTTATGGTGCAATTATGAAAATAATGTCTATAACTATGATGTACAACATTATGTATTTAAAAGAAATTATAAATGTATGATTAAGAGACTGGTTATAATCAGGGTGTATAAAACTATGTATATTCAAAAGGGACTGGATGCAGCCAGTACACTCCTGCAGCAAAACTGGAAATGTGATGTATTATAAAGAAAAATATACAATAAAAGTATTTATTCTTAAAAAAGAAACCAGAAATTTGTAACTGACTGTCCAGCAGTGTTACTCAACCTTGGTACCTTTAAGATATATGGACTTCAACTCCCAGGATTCCCCAGCCAGAGGAATTCTGGGAGTTGAAGTCCACACTTTAAAGTTGCCAAGGTTGGAAAACACTGCTTTAGCAGGACAGATGCTCTACAAGGAGTTGATTTAAATGACAGTGAGTAGAAATTAGACCAGCTTTATAAACTAGGGTATCTGTTTTAACAATTTCCCAATATTTGAAGCCTTTAATGGTTAAGTTTGCCCCCAAAGCATTCCGACCTGTTCCCTGGGCGTTCCAGTCTGGGGTCCTGGCACATGTCCAACTCTGGAGTAGAGTCAATATCTTGAAAATCCGACCCTTCGTCACTGCTTCCCATTCCTGTAACAAAGGCATGGAAACTAGTAGTGGGATTCAAATTTTTTTACTACCGGTTCTGTGGGTGTGGCTTTGTGGGTGTGGCAGGGGAAGGTTACTGCAAAATCCCCATTTCCTCCCCACCCCACTAACCTGCTTTCCAGCTCCATTCTCCTGTTCAGGGCAACAAAAGAAGATCGGCTGGGAGGCAGCCAAGGCGAGGCCAGCCTATTTCCCTGTTCTCTGAACTATTCAAAATTTCTGCTACCAGTTCTGCAGAACCGGTCAGAACTGGCTGAATACCACCTCTGATGGAAACCATGTATGCTCTGGAACCAACAAAGCATTTGGACCAGAGGTGGTATTCAGCCAGTTCTGACCAGTTCTGCAGAACTGGTAGCAGAAACTTTGAGTTGTTCGGAGAACTGGCAAATACCACCTCTGGCTGGCCCTGCCCCCATCTATTCTCTGCCTCCCGGGTCCCAGCTGATCAGGAGGGAATGGGGATTTTGCAGTAACCTTCTCCTGGAGTGGGGTGGGAATGGAGATTTTACAGTATCGTTCTTCTGCCATGCCCACTAAGGCACCCCCACCAAGCCATGCCACCCCCACCAAGCCTTGCCCACAGAACCCACAGTAGTAATATTTTTTAAATCCCACCACTGATTTGGACTAAACATACGTCAATGTTCTCTTCTCCTTCTTTTGAAAAACAAAAGCCAGCCAGGGGTGGGATTTGGTAGTTCTCCGAACCAGCCGTAACGTTAGCTACTGATTCTCCTGAACCCAGGCAAACCTGTAGCAGCCCACCCCTGGACTCCCTTCAGATTAATTTCAGGGCCACAAAACTAGCCAGGTAGATGATGAGAAGCTAAGAAGTTAAGCAGGTACACTCTACCTATGCTCACGTTCCGTGTCTCCTGGACCACTTGAACTTCCATATTTCGGCTGTTCCGTTTCTCCCGAGACCGTTTGTTGTTTTTGGAGGTGACGTAGTCGTTCATCGACTGAAGGCTGTCATTCAAGGGGGTCACAGCAGCCGAGGGCACTGAGGATGTGGGAGTGTTAGATTTTGTTCCTGTGGTGCTGGGCGTGGTGGCTGCAGAGGACTGTCCGGACTCCGACATTTCATCAGGTGGACACTGGTGTGCAATGGGGTTTGCAGAGAGGGGAGAGAAGAAGAAAAAAAGGCAAGATATCCAGACCAATCTTTTTCCCCCCCTGGCTCTATTGCTGCCTTTGGAGCATTAAGAAGTATGAGCGTTAAGACTCTTAAGCAACAGCAATGGAAACCACGAAATGAACAACAGTGGGACACAAAGTTTCATGGTTGAGGAACATCTTTGCTGTCAGGACGGCAAGGTCTTGAAATGAATCCATTGGGGCCTGAATGTTGGCATTGCCAAAGCCAGATGAGCAAGTGCCCAAACCTTTCCCCCCGCCCTGCAACTTCCCTTCTGCCCAGCAGGCTGCTAGAAGTGGGCCTGCTTATTCTGGCTACATCTCCATTCACTAGCAATGGGCTTCCAAAATTAAGTCAGTAACTGCACGTGGTAGTAGCTGCAACTCCTTACAACTTCTTCTCAGACTTAAACTTCTTAATATGCTATAAAATCCACATCGTATCCCATACACCAGTGATGGTGAACCTATGGCAAGCGTGCCACAGGTGGCATGCAGAGCTCTCTTTATGGGCGCATGCGCCATCGCAGATGCTCTTCTGGTTTCTGGCATGCACAGGTGTTTGGGATTCCAGCGCTCTGGCATGCACAAAGACCAGCTGGCCGGCATGCATATGCTTTCGGGTTTCCAGCACTGGGGGGCCCGCATGTGCACAGGCGTTCCAGTTTGGGCACTCAGTGCCAAAAAGGTTCGCCCTCACTGCCATACACCCTAGGGTGCCTAATTAATCACCGCCTTCTTTTAGTCAACTCCAAAAGAGCTCCACTATGTTAAACCGGAGATAAGCGACTCATCGTCTTCTACTTGTTCTGAACCAATCCCACTAACACTTGCCGCTAAATCTTAAGTTCATAACATTCGGTGGGCAGCGGCAGGTTGGTTTGGTTTGGTTTGGTATATTGGATTTATATGCCGCTCTTCTCCCAAGGACTCAGGGCGGCGTACAACATTAAAAAAGCACATATTACAAAAGTTAAAATAGAATATCCCAAACAAACCCAATTAGGATTAACAATAACATTTTTTTNGTACAAGTGTAGCTCTCCAGAGAAGGAGCTCAGTCTTTTCAAAAGAAATTTGCAAGCCTAAAAAAAGGACAGCTGCTTTAAGAGATGCATTTACTTCAAGGGGATTTATTTAATCTCGCACTCCAAATTATTTTCAAAGCCTGCATAGCTTCAGTTTATAGCCCTTAAACTAGAACAGGGAGACACAAATATAATTTCCAGTAGTTTGGCCTTTGGACTCTATTTTAAAGTGTTTGTTTCTAATCTCAAAGAAACCAGACTTCCTAAGAAGGAAAAAGTAAATTGGGGGGAAAATAGGGGGGGAATAAAACCACGTTAAAGGAATTTATATTCATCTTTTCAAATCATTTTTTAAAAACTCTGCTGTGATACGAAATGCATTATGGTTCGCTACTCTTTGGTTTGAAATCATGCTTCGCAACCAGAGGTGGGTTCCTACCGGTTCGGACTGGTTTGGCCGAGTAGGTAGTAACTTGGCCGGACACACGCCCTAACCGGTTCTATGCTCGAGGCCGCCATCTTGATTTTCTGTTTTGCACATGCGCAGAACAACTGTCATTGGAAAAATGTATTTTTCCTTTTGTTGTGTGCAAAAGTTTTTGTGCGCCAAACCAGTAGTAATGCTGGCGGGAACCCACCCATGTTCACAACATCTGGACAAGGAAGTACTGAACCCCTGTAGACGAAGGTCTAAACCAGCTTTTAAAGGACCATGCCAAGGGGAGGGGGGGGACAGTGAAACAAGCTGTGTAACACAACTAGAGGCACTTCAAGCATTTTTCCTTCACTCTCCCCATGCAGATCCCACCATCGTAATTCACCCTCTTCCCAAATGGCCAAGGCTCAAAGAGGCAGTCTGGCTCATCTATTGTCCCAAGATGCTCATTTCGGTTACATGAAGAGAAACATCTACGCAAGATCAGACCAGTCTTTTCGCCCTTGAAACTCTTTACTTCCACAGGGGCAGAGCCCAGAGGATACACCCTTACCTTCTCCCAGATAGACCACTCTCGTTTTGGCTATTTCCAGCGACCTGCTGCATTTTGGACCTCTCAATGTGCTCCACATAGGTTTGGATCATCTTCCAAGGAAAGGGGAAGAAAAAGAAACGACAGTACTTAATTCCCTCTAATTTACAATTGTACCCGAGTCCAACATTTTCTGATCTGGAAAATGGCTTTTTTCCCCCTCCTTCTTTTTATTTTATAAAAAAAAAAATAGGGTTCTGTCTTTTTTGTATAGCAGAGACAGAACTTACAAACTTCCAGCTAAAACTGAGCTGCGGTGGCGCAGTGGTTCGAATGTGGTACTGCAGGCTACTTCTGCTGACTGCCAACTGCCTGCAGTTTGGCAGTTCGAGTCTCACCGGCTGAAGATTGACTCAGCCTTCCATCCTTCTGAGGTCAGTAAAACGAGGACCCAGATTGTTGGGGGGGGACAATATGCTGGCTCTGTAAACCAGTTAGAAAGAGCTGCAAAGCACCGTGAAAGCGGTATATAAGTCTGAGTGTTATTGCTATTGCTGTAGCTGATTGGACATTGCATTAGGAGCCCGAGTGGCACAGTGGTTAGAATCTGGTATTGCAGGCTGACTCTGCCCGCAGTCTGGAGTTCAATCCTGACTGATTCAAGGTTGACTCAGCTTTCCATCCTTCTGAGGTGGGTAAAATGAGAAGCCAGATTGTTGGGGGCTAATAGGCTGACTCTGTAAACCACTTAGAGAGGGCTGTAAAGCACTGTGAAGCAGTATATAAGTCTAAGGGCTATTGCTAAGTGCTATGGTACTGCAATTCCCACCACACTAGAACAGAAGATAAGAGAAGATGGGCACCTAGTCCCCTAAATCTGAAAGCAGTTAGAGTTACTGCTGTCATTTACTTTTAGACCTGTACATTCTAACTAATAATAATCAGCTTTCATCCATCCTAGTAAAGGGGGAGATACCTCTGTATGCCGCTGGTGTAGAGCATTGTACTCTTTCTTCATTTCGGATTCACGCTCCTCCAACCGGGAAACTGTCCATTATTTAAAAAAAAGAAAAGAAAAGAAAGTAGGTTGAGGAGAAATGGATCACTCTGAGAAAGAGGATACTAACAAGTTGTAAATGGAATGAGGGCACTTCTTCAAGCTTGCTCTACTTTACTCCCAGTGCCTTCGCTATAACATTACAAATCAACAAAAGAGTAGGTTGTGCCTCAACTTCCTGGTGGTTTAATTGATACGGCACATACCTTTCAGGTAGAGATCTTAAGATTCAGTCTCTGAACTTTTAAACCAAGCTAGAAATAGCCACACCTTGAGCCTAGCCAAACTTCAGTGTTGTGGCCCACCAGTGGCCAGAAGAGCTGGCAGCAGATTCAGACAGTGAGGAGGTTGGGGAGGGACATGGGCCAGTCCTGGAGTCTGGGGAAGGCTCTGATGAGGGCACTGGTCGGAGGCAGAGAGGGGGCCAGAGCCGTCCGACAGTTATCAGCTGCCTTCAGAGTCAGATATCAGTGAGGCGGAAGAACAGCTGGAGCCTGTTCCCAGTGTGCCCATGCACAGAGTTGCCAGACCAAAGGAACAGCTAAAGAACAGGGGTTGACTTGAGAGTAAGGCCACAGGTGGATGATGAATGGCCCCTCCCAGAGGAAATAAAAGAGGAGCAAAAGGGGAGTGGAGTTCGCAGGAGAGAATTAGTTTGCTTCATTGGTTCATGACTCTCCNCCTATTTTTCTACTTGCATTTTTTACGTGCTTTCAAACTGCTAGGTTAGCAGAAGCTGGGGCAAGTAATGGGAGCTCACTCCATTACGCGGCGCTAGGGATTCGAACTGCCGAATTGCCGACCTTTCTGATCGACAAGCTCAGCATCTTAGCCACTGAGCCACCGCATCCCTAGAATTATTATCTCCCATCAAAATATTAACTAGGTTTAATCATGTTTCGCTTCCAGACATGTTCCTCAAGGTGTGTTGAGGGCTGCCTCGTGTTACCCCTGTCTGCTAGCAATAGCACTTACACTTATATAGCGCTTCACAGTGCTTCAAAGTCCTCTCTAAGCGGTTTACAGAGTCAGTCTCTTACTCCCAACAATCTGGCTCTTCATTTTACCCACCTCAGAAGGATGGAAGGCTGAGTCAACCTTGAGCCTGCTGAGATTCAAACTGCCAAATTGCAGGCAGCTGGCAGTCAGCAGAAGTAGCCTGCAATACTGCACTCTAGCCACTGCGCCACTGTGGCTGGTGGACAAGACGAAAACAAACTGGTGGAGGCTGGGTTCAGATTCCACCAAAATTAGATGAAAATATATTTACTACATCAACCATTTTTTTTCCTTCTGCCACTCTCTCTTCACCAGGTAGCTGTGAAGAGGGGCACAGATTGACCTTGCCAGCGATTGGCTTCTTGAAAAATGGGTTTCAAATCTTGCACACCCAAACCACTTAGGACCTAAAGTTGCTTGTCTTGCTCTAAATGGTATGTGGATTTTGCCAGTATTTTAAATAAGATCCTTTTTCGGATTGTCTTGGAAATTGTTAGGAGATAGATATACAAAGCATGGGCTCTGCTACTGAATGATAGATCTTGTTAAGATCAAAAGAATGTATGACAAATAGCCCAACATTTTATTAATTAAACAATGACAAGAAGCACAGAACATTATATTCTTTCTCTGTTCAATCTTAAGTGCAGATTGGCTGTGGCAAATTGACTAAAAGCACTGGATAACAATTTGGGAAACTCTAAAGTAAAAGTCCAGAAGAGCCTTCACAGCCTTGAAATTATCTTGAGTTCAGTTACTGAAATAACATTCTATCTAAGACAGTTGAATTGCTCTGAAAATAAAAGAGGACTGAGAAGATCATGGCCATGACTCAGACACTTTGGAATAGAAATAAGATAAAAACACGATCAAAAGAACAGGGGATTGTTATAAGACACTTAATGTGTAACTTAATCCTTCTTGACTATGTTAAGAGAGATTGACTGATAGGAATGAAAGTCAGATAGTACAAATCTATCTAAGATTGGGTTACTATCCTTTCTTTTTCCCTTGTTTTTCCCAATGGGGGTGTGTTTCATTTTCCAGTTGTTGTCCTTTTCAAAGTTGAAAGTAGAAGGGCAAAAATACGAATTCTCCAGTTCCTAGTTTAGTAAAACACAACTGATGTGTCCAAACGACATGGAACTCCCCACGAAATCGTATTATACTCCAACATGAGAATGTGGTTCATACACCGCCAAAGTAGGGTGAAATGCTAAATGTCGAACATCAATTTTGTCTAATCTCTTCTGCTAGCTAAGCCGCACAAATAAAAAATTGGGAGAAGGTTTTGCTCAAGCAGCTCCGTGTGTGGAGGGAGTGATTTCCCCCCCCCCACAAAAAGGGCTTCTTTCTAGACCTATCTCACCCATGTTTTCATTTTTCTGAGAGAGAAAAGATAGCTTCCAGCTCTGACAAAGATATTTCGATACGATAATGAACTCCAGTTTCAACCAGTTTATAAACATTTCTCCTTTCTTATCCTAAAGATAAGAGGTGGTTGTTATGAGAATCAAACTTCTCCTTGGGTGACTCGGCTTCAGATTCCAAATGGGGTTTTAATCCATGGGAGAAGCAGCTCAAAACTTCAAATGTAAAACTGAAGGTTCTGGAGGAAGCAACGAGGGAAAAGGCTGATGAGACTCCCTTAAATTCCCCTGTGGAGAGGAAGTCATATTAAGGGGATAAACAGGAACAAATGTAATTTGCCTCCTGGGTGGTGGTTAATAAAATCTCCAAACTGCTCTCTTTTCCAAAAATTTGCCACTCAAGGACACGGACTTCTACCCTAGCAGGAGGCTAAGATGGGCTCTTAGAACTTTCTTATGGGAAAAAACGAATTATCTTTTCCCTATATTTTGTTGTAAAGGTAAAGGTTCCCCTTGCACATATGTCTTTCCCGACTCTAGGGGGTGGTGCTCATCTCCATTTCAAAGCCGAAGAGCCAGCGCTGTCCGAAGACATCTCCATAGTCATGTGGCTGGCATGACTAAACACCAAAGGCGCACCGAACGCTGTTACCTTCCCACCAAAGGTGGTTCCTATTTTTCTACTTGCATTTTTACATGCTTTCGAACTGCTAGGTTGGCAGAAGCTGGGACAAGTAACGGGAGCTCACTCGATTACGCAGCGCTAGGGATTCGAACCACCGAACTGCCGACGTTTCTGATCGACAAGCTCAGCGTCTTAGCTGCTGAGCCACTGTTTCCACTGCATTAGCAGCAATACAGAACAGCAAACTGATTGGTGATCAGAAGTTACATGATGATGGCGAACATGACGATGATGATGATAAGAAAAAAAAAACTCAACCCCTTCCCCAGCTTAGAAAGAGTCCGCCAAATTACCTTTTTCTCCATGATGGGTGGTGACTGAAGTGACAAACACAGAACAGCCAACACAAGAGAGGTAATGGCACAAGAAGCAAGACAAGAGAACAACCATTAGAGTGTGAAACTCGTGCAAGCATGCATTGACATGCGCAGACAACATGCTCATTTGAACAGAGATTGACATGCTGGCCCAGAGCCACAAAAAGCACATTGTGAAGCAAGGATGGTACTATCGTATGTACAGTTACACTGCGTTGCTGGTCTCCTATCTCAACATCAAGTGATGTTTCTTCATTGCACATCATCATCGTGAGACATTTTTGCAAAGATTGGAAGTAGTTGTTTCAACACTGATTCCACAGTTTTATCATTCCAACAATGGTCTCTGCATTCATGGCAGAAGATGGCAATTGTATAACATTTGCAAAAGATAAAGTTTCCCCTCGCACATATGTGCTAGTCGTGCCCGACTCTAGGGGGCGGTGCTCATCTCCTTTTCAAAGCCAAAGAGCCAGCGCTGTCCGAAGACGTCTCCGTGGTCATGTGGCTGGCATGACTCAACTCCGGAGGGGCATGGAATGCTGTTACCTTCCCACCAAAGGTGGTTCCTATTTTTCTATTTGCATTTTTACATACTTTAGAATTGCTAGGTTGGTAGAAGTGGGGCAAGTTAACAGGCGCTCACTCCATTACACACTAGGGATTTGAACCGCTGAACTGCCAACCTTCTGATCGACCAGTTCAGCGTCTTAGCCACTGCCCCCCTCTTTGCAAAATATAGTAAGCCAAAATTTTCTAGAATTCTTGTTTTGGAGTAGAATTCTTTGAAACAAGCCAGGGATCAGAAACCAAGAACACGTCATAGCTTTTTAGTTCTAGCTTCCTCTTGGGAGTGGATCAAATAAAAATGGGGGGGGGGTTAATAGTATTGAAACAGATAATAATTACATGTGACTAGATCTTATAATGTTACATTGAAGGACAGAGACTACTTGAATGGAAGACTCTGGACATAACCCTTAAGGCTTAACTCATTTCATAATCTCAGGAATATATAAATATGTATTTCTCCCTGTGTAATTCCTTTTTCTTTTTTTAATCCTATAGAGCCAAATCTTTGATCGTGAAAGCAGAGAGAGAAAGGATTAAACATCCCAAAATAAATCAGTCCCTTTTTATGTGGAAATAACTACTCCTGGAGTTCTAATCATGGTTTTTCCATGTAATATTTCATCTGACTTATTGACAATTTTCTACTAAAACTGTACCAGGAAACACACTTGCAGATATACTGTATGTTCTAATAAGAACTGCTGATTTCCTCCTAATGGTGACAACTGGGAAGAATGTAGCAAGTAAGTTTATAAATTGGCTTTTGATTGCCTTCATCTAAAAACTCAAGAATTGTTTATTGGTTGTGGAGGACTGGAGGTATACATTTCATCAGTGAATTCCCAAAACGGCTTACAAATTGCCAACATTTCAGGGAAAAATTCAAAACTTTAAAAATAGCAGGATTTAAAAGAACAACAGCAAAGAGGGGTGGATGACTCTCAAATCTGGCTTCATACTATTTCACATTTTAGTGATCAGCATTCCACACGTATTTGTCCTAGTAGTAACTATCACCATCTTCTTGGAGTTAGGATACATTTCTCTTAGACCATGAGCAAAATGCTTGGACTACTCTTCATCTCTATCCAATTCATCCAATACCTAGCTTCCCCCTTACTCAATAAAATAAACAGTTATTGAAATCTGAGAAGCTGAGTACTTCTCATCCACAAGATCTATGAATTAATTCAAATTTTATGATCAGACCATACAAATATATGTTCTTATATCTCATTACACACCAATAATATTTTCCCAAGGTAGGGTGTAAAGTACCCTAACGATGCCTGCTTCATAATAAGCAACCCGACATTGTAATACAAAAAGCAGTGATTTATTAACAGCTTCATTAGGGCAGCCATCTTTTTTGCTTTCTTTATCTGCTTCTGAACTAGGGTTTCCCAGCCACTTGAAGATGTGTGGACTCTACAGAATTCTGCGAGCTGGCTGGGGAATTCTGGGAGTTGAAGTCCGCACATCTTCAAGTGGCCAAGATGGGGAAACACTGTCTTAAGCAAAGGTAGTATTCAGCCAGTTCTGACCGGTTCTAGCGAACAGGTAGCGGAAATTTTGAGTAGTTTGGAGAACCGGCAAATACCACCTCTGGCTGGCCCTGCCCCCATCTATTCTCTGCCTCCAAAGTCCCAGCTGATCAACTGGGTCTTCTTATGCTGCCCTGCAAAGCAGAATGGAGCTGGAAAGCAGGTTAGTGGGATGGCAAGGAAATGGGGATTTTGCAGTAACCTTCCCCTGGACTACTGGACTACTGCAATGCGCTCTACATGGGGCAGCCTTTGAAGAGTATTCGGAGACTTCAACTCATCCAGAATGCAGCCACGCGAGCGATTGTGGGTGCTCCCCGGTACACCCACGTTACACCTATCCCCCGAGAGCTGCACTGGCTTCCGATCGGTATTCGGATACGCTTCAAA